ATAAAATCTCTGATTGCTCCTCAGTTACCTACAGGTTGTCTTCTTCATTTCCACTGAATTTATTTTTCCCAAAGTCATCAAGATCCTTCTCACCGCTGACTCAGTGGACACATTATTGCCCTATTTTTCCCACCTATCTTTCTTGTAACATTTATGCTGTTGATCTTAAATATATTTTAATCCTGATACCCTCTGTCTAGGCTGTCGGGTGGTGCATCTCAGTCTCCTTTGCAGAATTCTTTTCTCTGCGAATACCTTAAATGTTGGTATTCTCCAGTATCGTGTTCTGGGTTCTGATTACAAACTGATAATTCTTTCTGTACTATCTTATCTGTACCCATGGCTTTTGTTAACACCCTGTACTAATGACTGAAATATATCTTCCTAGCCTGAATCTCTGTGAGATCCAGACCTGTGTAACCAGGAGTGTGTGTGCCCGTGTGTGAGTACACACACTGCCTCCCAGACATCTTACTGAGTCTGAAACTAAATGTGTTCAAACTGAACTTTTTCTGTCTCCCTCTTTTCTCCCCTAAAATTATACTTCTTTTTTTATGAATGGCATTAGTTTCTATTTAGCTACCAGAAGACTAAGTTTTCATAAATTTCTCCTTAACTTGCCCACTTCAAATTTTTAAAGTCTATCAATTTGGCTTCCTAAAGTATTTCTTTGCTTTTTTGTTTTTATTGAGACAGAGTCTCACTCTGTTACCCAGGCTAGAGTGCAGTGGCATTAGCCTGGAGGTTGCTGTGAGCTGTAATGCCACGGCACTCTACCCAGGGGGATAGCTTGAGGCTCTGTCTCAAAAAAAAAAAAAAAAGAAAAATCTTTTCAATCTGTATACTTTTACCCTTTCCCTTTTAGCTCCTGCACTGATGCTCGCCTTTTCATAGCTAGGTTTCTAGAACAAAAAAAATCTCTGCCCCCATTCCCAAGTTGATAGAAGTGGTATGTGCCACAGGCTGATTATCTGGGTAATCTCCAGTAGGTAGGCAGGTGAGAGTGATAGCGCGATAATTAGTAATCTGTAGACTGCCATGCATAATTCAGATTTCACTCTCATTGCTGGTGCCATTATCACATATTGGCCCTTCCAAACCTGTGGAACCTCACTGTCAGGCAGTGAGCCACCTATAGACTCCCAGGGGATGTATAGCCCAGGTTGAAGACAAGGAAAGCTCTACTGTAACTACCACTGAACCTGCACTCTCCCTAGTGGGTCCCATTGAAATAGTCTTCCCTACATTCCCTGTTCCCTCTCCTCATTCCCATTTTTTAGAGAAGTGATTCATTGGGGCTATAGGGTTTTCTGTACTCTAGTTGCCATCTTGGGGTGTTTAAAGGTGAAATTGCACTTAGAGCAACTGTTGACATTGCTATGGGCAATCAGTTGATCTTACACATCCTAGGAAATCTTTATAATTCCCTTGGTCTCAAGTGAGTTTCTTCTGTTGTCTCTTGAGGTACTTCCCTCAAAGCAAGTTGGGGTGCCACAAAAGACAAGTAAATCACCTTCTACCAATCTCTGGCTTCCACAGAGATCAAACCTTACTGACTCAGAGTAAAGACTTGTACAGATAGATTTTTGTTTTCATTTAAACATCCCTTTTCTTTTTCTCCCTTTTTTTTCCTTCCTGGTGTTGAAGTTTTATTTAGAAAACAGGATAAATGATGTTGTTACCAAA